CGCCGCGCCGCGCGAAACCCGCCGAGCGCGCGCTCGCACGCCTCGGTCGTCAGATCGCGGTGCTGCAGAACAGGCTCAGCGCACGCTGTAGCGTCAAGGACGTACCGAGAGGTTGCACACCGCGTCGTCGCTGGACGGCCGTAGCTTGGGCTTCTTGAGCATCTGCCACGTACTGGATACGATGCCGTATCCAAGCGTCGTTGCGATTGGTCGGTACTCGAAACGGCCGCCTCGTCGCGACCACTGCGACTGTCCGTCGCCTGGGCACTGGCGTCGGTAGCTCTGCTGGCTTGGGCTCCAAACCGCGAGCCGGCGGTGCAGAAATCAGCCGAGGACTGGACCTCGACCACCGTGTAGGTCGCTGCGTCAGCCGATAGATAGTAGGAGCTAAATGTTCTATGGACGCTCTCTATTGTTCGAACGAGATAGATGGCGCGACGTTCGAGTGGCTCGTGGCGTGGCCTCGCTGCGGACCTTCAGGATGATGTCGCAGCGGCCAAGTACGAGAAACCCAGCAGGATCATCCAAGCTTATCAGTTGCGGTGGTGTAGAGTCGAGCTGCGGCGACTGCTGCAACGCAAGCACGTTGTACGACCAACCGAGCTACGTGAGCCAGTACTAGTACCTGAGCTGCCTCGAGCAATCGCACCGCAAGCTTCTGACACGCCAGCAGATTCGCTCTGTCCGAGAAGCTGTCCGTGTCTGCCGCGTCATGAGCAGACTATGGTACACGCTCCTTTAGCGAACAAAGCGCGTGAGCAAAGTAGGAACGCCTCCAAGCCCTCGAAGACACCAATGCGATCATGGCCGCCCGCTGCGCCCAGCTGGGTACGATGGGAAATCCACGGGTTTCCTCCACACGGATGTACTAGACAACACGCTGGCCACGTGCGCGTCCGAACTCCGCTTGTCGTCGGAGAAGATGCAGCGCATCGAGTCCAAGTACGCAACAGAGCGACGGCGCAACGAGCTGCAAGTCCTCGCCATCCAAGTGCTCGAGGTGCCCTTTGCCACGCAATGGAATTGGGACATCATACCTCGCATAGGACGAGTTGCGGACCCTCCAGTCATCGACGAGCTACGAAGCGAGTCGTCTTGCGTAGCTTCTGCTCGTCGTACACGACCTCAGAATGTATTTCCTTGTACACGTTGGAGCTGTCGACCATAATGTGCGTCTGCCGACGACCAAGTGTGCACGACTACTACATCCTTCGTCTCACGACTCCACCGAGCATCGTCCTTCCTTGACTCGCAGGCAGAGAAATAAATCGAGAGAGACGACGTCTATTCGCGCTCATTAACACAGCGCCTTGTCGGCAGTAGGGAGTTCCGTAGCGTTGGGGAGTAGGATGACCAAGTCGCGGTTCTCGATGCTGAAAAAGGAGTCTTCGGCGCCGTCGAGCGCACGAAAAGTTACAAACAAGGAGGACAGTGGCGGCTTGAAATAGGCGAAAGGCGGCTGAAACCGGCAGTCGCATAACCGATCTCGTACTACGATGGTCGAAGCGCAGCCGGCGCGCCAAGCCGGCGGTGAGGACCCCGGGAAGGAGGCGCCGGACCGCCTCCGCGGCATCTTTGACGCGCCGACAACGACGGTCGACGGCGCCAAACGCACCACAAAGGACACAAACCGCGTCGCCGACATGCTCGAGCAAGAGCTCAACGGCATGTCGGCCGACCAGATCGCCAAGATGGTGCAGAAGCGCCAGCACGGCTACGTCATATCGATGAACTCCAAGTGGAAACGCTGGTGGGACGTGCTTGTCGCTGTTATGACCATGTACGTTGTCATCGTCACGCCTGTCCAAGTCGCGTTCGAGCTCAAAGACGGCTACACCGTTCTCGACGACCTGCAGGTATATATATGCACATCCATATACCTTGCGGCACCCCCAATCGTATTAGTATGTGGTCGATACGCTCTTCATTCTCGAGGTCCTCATGACCTTTCGGACGTCGTACGTCGACTCGGCGACGCGCGAAGAGATCAACGACGTCAAGATGATCCAGAAGCACTACTTGTACGGGTGGTTTCTGGCCGACGCCGCGAGCAGCTACCCTGTCTGTAGCCGATCGCATGACGTGGCACGCTCACGCGTCGCTGTAGATATCGTACTTTCCAGAGCAAGGGCCCAAAATACAATCGCTCAAGTTTCTGCGCATCCTCAAGCTCTTCCGCGTGTTCCACCTCTCCAAGTCGCCGCTCTTCGCGTCCATGACCGCGTACGTCTCGCGCAAAATGAACCCGGCCGTGCTGCGCATGCTCAAACTCGCGCTCATCTTCATTCTCTCGCAACACCTCATGGCATGCGCCTACTACTGGCTCGTGACGTACGAAGGGATCAGCGACCGAACGTGGAAGCCGCCGTTCGCCTTCAACGACTCGCTCAGCGATCGGTACGTCGGCGCCTTCTACTTTGCCATCATGGTCACAACCGCCAACGATCTCGCGCCCGTCACCACGATCGAGCGCATCTTCACCAGCGTCATGCTGCTCATTGGCATTGGCATCAACGCGAGTATCATTGGCTCGGCCGCCAACTTGCTGGCCAACCTCGACAAGACGGAGGTTGCTCGCAAGGAGCATCTGGACTCGATCAACGACTATCTGCGGTTCAAGAAGGTGCCGCTGCCGCTCCAGGACAAGATCCGGCACTACTACGACTATGTATGGACCGTTCGCCCCAGCGACAAGCAGAACCAGCTCTTTGTGGACCTCCCCGACCGCCTCAAGCTCCAGCTCACCTTGTCGCTGCACCGCGACTTTATCAACAAGGTCCCGCTCTTCAAAGCGCTGTCGCCGGGCGGCGCGATCGCGATCGTCCAGTGCATGGAGAGCGTCGTGGCCATGCCGCACGACCTCGTCATCCGCGCCGGCGAGCAGGTCGCTTTCGAGCCCTTCCGAATAAAGACGATGATTCACCAACTAATCTGGGGGTAGGGGGACGAATTTTACTTTATCAACTCGGGGTTTGTCGAAGTGGACATTTCGGTCAAGAACAGCAAGGTGCAGCTCGGCGTGCTCGGCGCGGGCTCGTACTTTGGCGAAATCGCGCTCCTCAACAACGAACCGCGCTCGGCCAACGTGCGCGCGACGCTCTTTTGCGAGCTCGAAATGATCCGAAAAGACGACTTCAATGCGATTCTCCACAGCTTTCCGCAGTTCCACATTGCGCTCAAGAAGATTGCCGACTCGCGCCAGCAGACCACCATCAACATGCACAAGATGACCAAGCTCATGAAGTCGGATGGACCGCAAACGTCGAGCGCAGGTCTAGGCGGCGACGGGCTTCTGGACAACGTCTTGAAGACGCTCAAGCTCAAGCGCGGCGCCAACAAGGTGGCGGCCGACGACGACGACAAGCGCAAGGCCAACGCGATGTTTTTCGACACGATCCTCGGCGACGACTTCATCGTCAACATGTCCCAGGCCAAAGCCCGCCACATCACAAAGATGAAGCGCATCTCGGCCGACATGTTTGCAAGGAACCCGTCCTAGTAGACGCTGCTTCGTGTTTCGTGCTGTCCCATTCTCTGTCGTGATTAGTTATTAGACCTTGCCGGAAGTTATATAAGAAGACCCTTTTGCGATATTTCTACTGCATATCTACAGTAGTGGAGGGCGTCGGGCGAGATGCGACGGACGGCTAGTGGCCCACCTCGTGGTGCAGACACGATGATCCAGGAACTCGTCGTCGGCCAAGCGCATGAGCAAAACAAGCCATGACGTGCACCCTACTGGACGTTTGGTTGGTTAACGTGCAGGTGTACGTGTCGACGCTCCCAAGCCCTACCCTATCCCTTGTTCGAACGGTCCACTGCCCAGCATCCATATCGCGCCTTTCTCCGCCTTTGGGTCTGGGAGGGTTAACCCTTGCCAATGCAGC